AAACACAAATTTAATGAGATGTTTTCTGAACAGTATACATCATTGACTTGTATTGAATTTCATTAAAAGCGCACAGGAAGCCCTGTCAATGAAAAAAAAACCTGTCTGCCACTGTCTCATCAATCTTCCCAAAGTTAAGGAAGGAGTGCAAGCAACATGCTTTATCCTATCTACAACGTTTTACTTAAGCCTTGACATGCTACAAAAAATGTCATTCTTAATGAAAATTATGTCACACACTCATAATCTTTACAACTGATCACAGGTACAGTAACTCAGAGGTCGAGTCTGTAAATTCCCTTGTTTGACTTTTGGCATATTAGACACTTCACTAGAGCAACAAAAAGAGAGCCATAAGGGAGAAGGTTGAACTTCCCCGGTAGCTGTTTGACATTTCCAATATACTTTTTATTTGTAGATGGTCTTTAAAACTTCTATTTCTCCTTTGGACATTTTAGATTTGTGTGGGGATGTCATGAGATGCCTACAAGTAAAGATTTCAGGTAAAACAAAAGAGACAGATGTGAGTGCCAGCACGGGGGATTGGATTAGCTCTAAAATAGGTTAATAATATTAAAATAATTGATAGCATGTTTGTCCCATGTAAACAGATCCTGGGACTGAAAAGCTAGTTTGTGAAAGAAATTCAGATCTATGTCCATAAAGGGTTAACCTCTGGGTAAATCAAATTATAGCCAATATCACTTGCCAGATTGTCAACAATGAAAAAGAAGTTAAAGAAATGGCTTTATATTTCAGAGGCAGAGGTCCACCATCTTCAAAGCAGTCAGAGTTGATTGCACAGCTGCTCTTAACAGCAAACAAATCTCACCACTAAGTGGTCATGATTCATTCCTATGTACACAAATGCTATGCACAACCAAACCCTTAACATTTCATATGAATAAATAATTTTATTCTCATCATATTGTACAATAGATTTTAACACGAAAAGTGATATCCTTTTTTGTTTTGGCACTGAAGTACACCAACGCACACCGTGTGGTCCACAATTCAAACAAGCAATTGCATAACCAGGATTTAGACTTATTTCCCAAGGGGGCACTGAAATAATGTGTATTTATTTATGGTGGCTTCTACGGGGGGGGGTCTTTTGCTGGAGGATATGCCCCTCCCTACATTCCCTTAGCCCCACCCATTAAACAGCTTATTCAAGAAATGTACAGGGGAGATATTGCAAACACTGAAGTTCTCTGAAGAAGGGGAAAGGGCCTCTGATTTTGGGCTTCATGAATTTATTGGATTCATCTCCACAACCTTCATAATGAACATACTATCTTTTTCAGAGGCTGAAGAGAATGCTAATCAATAAGGGAATAAATATGTGCTTGGCTCATCTTATAAGCAGGTTAAAGACCAGCTTGGGCGAATTGAAGCGACTAACAGCATTAAGTCTCCTTAGCTGGTCTTGAGACCAGCCAAGCAAATATTTATCCCATCCATATATACCTTTTCAGTCAGATCGTCAAAAGAAGTCAAGATTGTGGATATGGATTTTCACTGATTCTGTTCTAGAATTTTACTTTCATTTTCATAAACAACCCCCTCTATTTTATGGAATATTCATTGTGCAAATAGTCCAACTGGCATGCCCATTGACCAATCAGAATTGATTAAACTGTTTAGCATCCAGGTGCCAGCGCATGGTTTACGCAGCAAGCAGTATCTCCTCTCAGCAGGCATTACCAAATGTGAATACGTGGTCAAGTTGTATGTTATTGAATAGGGAGACTGTCTGAGGTACTTATGAATGCTGTTTATAATTCACTATTTATATAAAATGTTCTTTTCCATCATCTAACAAATTACAGTTTAAAGTGTATTTGCAATCTCTTTTTCCTTGAACATGTCAAGTGAAATGATTCTGTTGGACAATTACAACTGCATAACCACAACTCTCCCTTTACACTGAGCCTGATTTCTAACAACTTGGCTGACTTGTTTTCAGTTGCTAATTCAAATACACTGTAAACATAGCCTTTTATTTCAAAAACTGCACAGATAAACTTTAATACTTTCTGCTAAGAACTGAGGCTTTTACTTTGCCTGAGATTTGGCATTAACTCCAAGAATACATGAATTCTGAATTTGGTGTAAGATCTATCAAATGTAATGAAACGGCAACATGTAAGGGACTAGGAGAAATCGATGCTCTTAAGCATTTGTCATGGACAACAGAAAAAGATTACATAATGTGGAAGGAAAATTGCATAAAGATCTAAAATGACCCAGGTTTGAAAACTTTCTGTACAAAAAGCCAAGGTTCTGAAAAGGTTAAAACTCACAAACTGGTCAGAGAGACTAGGATCAGACGCAGCTTCATGACAAACCTATTGCTTTGATACAAGAAAGTTAAAATACCACGTACTACATATTCTGTTCGCTTGGAAGCTAAGTGATTTTAGTCTGTGAATTTGTTAAATAATGCTTTCTAGCACGATTTTGGACTGCTGTCTCAGCTATCCTGAGTTTATTTCATGTTCTTCCCCTTCCACAAATATCTGTATACCCGGCAAAAATGGGACAGAGGGGTACCCCCAGCAAGTCCAATCCCTATACACAATTGTTACCTCACACATTCCCCCCATGTCTGAAAAGAATTCCTCAGATCCCAGTCTAACAGTGACCAACACAATGGGGGGGGGGTTCTCTCTGTCCCCTAGTTTGCATCAAATTTATATCTGCAGCACATACTCAATCAGAATTTATATTTGCACAGGTGTTTACTCCTACATCATGATGAAAGGATTCAGCTGTGATGACAGGTGTCTGTCCTAGTTCGTGGTGGACCCAAACCAACAGATATTGTCACCGACAACAACCCAAGCCCAAAGCTCAAACAAACAGATTGGCAGACAAGTCTGCAAGAGCCTGTGCATTCCGTGAGTTGTGTATATTTGGACAATACCAAAATGCAGTTTCTTGACTTTTTAATCAAGAAATCAAAATATCAGCAACATTTGAAAAACAAAAGAACAGAGGGTTTTGTAATTCCAGGGCTGGTTTTTTAGTTACAACGAAAAGGTAATCAGGAACAAGCTTTGTGATGTAAAAAAAAAAAAAAAACACAAGCAAAACCAAACAAGCCCAAAAAATAAAACTTATAAAAAAAAGAGAGAACTTTATGACAATTATTAAAAATTTCAAGAACAAACCACAAGGATAAATTTTGTAAAATGGCGTAGTAAAAATTCATTTCATGGCTTTGATTATTACATAAATGTATGGGATGTACGTAATAGTTCAACATCCATCCGGTGCTAAATGTATTGAGGTTAGGAAGTACAATAGGTCGATTCATTCAACTGCTTTTCTAGTTCAACATACAAAATACACTCTCCCATGAATATATATTTCAAATCTTTGTGCAAAAACATTTTGAATACCCACTGAACCACATTTAAACACTACAAAGCAACATTCCTACAGGAGAGAGCTCATCACTAAAACTCAATTTCCTCAAGACAATCAGAGTGCACTGTTTCAAATGTCAAGACATTATTTCAATTACCATTTCTTTCTGAAAGAGATTGCTTTCTTTGTGGTCTTATGAATCTACCCCTCCACACTCTTCAGCCATTATCTATGTATTACTTTCAGTCATTTGTAACCAAGCCTAACAACACGATTTGGAAGTCACATGAGCCACTTAAACACTTTGAAAAGAATCTTGCACAATACATATCGATAGGAACCCTTAATATGCTATATCCACATAATGTTCATTTCATCAGGATACCAGACTGACTGATACATACAATAAGAGAAATTGGTTTACTGATTCACACAAGAGCAAAAGTACTGGAAAAGTGGCCCAACGACTCAATTTAGTAGAATCTGGTCACATGTCCTATTCTTGAAGGGACTACTCACCGAGTCATACCAGC